GATAAAATAAAACAACGTTAAGAAAAAGTGGAACTACCTAAAGTACCTGAAACATTGAAAGCAATGCTAGATGAACGTATAACAATGATAGAATTAACAGAAGTAATTTAGAGACAAAAAAAATGGCAAAACACCAGGTCCAGATGGATTACCATCAGAACTATACAAAGACTTACAAAATACTTTAAGAATTCCAATGTTGGAGGTATTCAATGAACTATTGTTAGAAGTGAAAGTACCAAATTCATGGATGGAAGCATACATTACTCTCATACCGAAAGAAAACTCAGGCCTACAACAGATAAAAAACTATAGACCAATATCTTTACTGAATGCTGATTATAAAATATTTGCTTCAATAATTGCAGAAAGACTAAAAAGCTTCTTAAATCAATTTATATATCCAGATCAAAATGGTTTTTTAACTAAAAGACAAATTAAAGACAATATGAGAATAATTTTAAATACATGAAGCACATTGAGAGAAGCAAATAACATTGATCTTCCTAAAGGCACAGAAAGCATTTGATAATGTGAACTGGCAATTTATGCTAGCACAACTAAAAGACATGGACTTTGGGGAGAGATTTATTAATATGATTAAGGTGATATATTATAAGCAAATTGCAAATGTGATGATAAATATAGATATGACTGAGAAGGTTAGCATTGAGAAAGATGCAAGACAAGGATGCTCCTTGTCTCCCCTATTATTTGTATTGACACTGGAAGTATTAAATAGAAATATTAGACAAGATACAGAGATAAAAGGTATGGAAATAAAAAAAGAGGAAAAGTATAAACTACAGGCATTTGCAGATAACTTAGTTTTTATTTTGGAAGATCCACAAAAAACAGGGACTAAACTAATAAAAAAAAAAGAAGAATATGGAGAAGTGGCAGGACTGAAAATAAATAAAGAGAAAAACTAAGATTTTAGTGAAAAATCTTACAGATAAACAGAAAAAAAGAGTTAATGAAGAGAATAGATCACTAAGAAAGTAAAATACTTAGTGATTCAGCTGACAGCAAGATGTGAAACGATTAAGGAAGATAATTATTATAAACTGATGCAACAAATTAAAATAGATCTGGAAAAATGGAAAAACCTGCAACTATCATTGATAGGAAGCATAGCCACAATTAAAATGAATATCTTGCCAAGATTATTGTACCTATTTCAAACAATGCCAATAAAATTGGGAAAATATATTTTGTGGCACTTAAAAAAATAATATTAAAATATATCTGGCAAGGGAAAAAAGCAAGAATTAGCTTAAAAATGCTGCAGGATTTAAGAAGTAGAGGAGGTTTTGGATTACCAAATTGAGAACTGTATTACCAGGCCACAGCATTAACATGGATTAAAGAATGGATTGTATTGAGGAATACAAGATTATTGACTTTGGAGGGATACGACTTGCAACTAGGTTGGCATGCTTTCTTGTGGTATGGGAAAAGTAAGATACATGGTTACTTTCAAAGACATTGCATAAGGAATGCTCTACTGTTAGTATGGGAGAAAACTAGAGAGCAACATTATTTGAAGATACCAGTTTGGCTTTCAACAATGGAAGCACTGATTCACCCAAATGTTATTAACAGGGGAAATATTGTTAGATATAAAGATATTCTGAATGAAAAGGGGGAGCTTAAAATTAAACAAGAACTGAGTGATCAAGGGATCAATATGATATGGTATTCACAAGTGCAGATACATTCTAGATATGAGAAAGATGTTAAATTATATGGTTTCTATAATGAATTAACAGAATTAGACAAGACAGAAGAAAGATTGATAAAGAAACTGTACAGCTACTTATTGGGCATTAAACTGGAAGATGAACATATGAAGGAGACAATCATAGCATGGGCAAAAAAAGTTGGTTACACAATAGAATTAGATAAATGGTAGAAACTGTGGGACAGGAACTACAGATTAACAATGTCAACTGCATATAAAGAAAATCTGTATAAGATGTTTTATAGATGGCACTTTGCACCGGCGAGGTTGGCAAAGATGTTTAAAGATAAGTCAGCTGAATGTTGGAAGTACCATGAGATACCTGGGTCTTATTATCATATGTGATGGACATGCGTAGAAGCCAAAAAATACTGGACAAAAATACATACATGGCTGAAAAAGATGACAAAGCAGCGCATTGATTTAAAACCAGAAATATTTTTGTTGTGGATTTTACCTGAAACTTATAGTAAAGGGAATGCATATTTAATTATCCATGTATTAATTGCAGCTAGAATTGTATTTGCACAAAACTGGAAAAGTGAAGAGATCCCTACTGATGAGAATGTGATTAGAAAAATATTAGAATGTGCAGAAATGAATAGATTAACACTTGCAATTAAGGAGAAAGAACAAACTGAATATTATGACATGGGAATTATTTTATCAATGGTTAGAGAATAAAAATGGAAGTTAGAAATAAAAGAAGGAGATCAGTGAAATGTAGAAAATATGTTAAGATAGAGATGTAAACAACATGAATGATTGTTATTATTATGACTATTATGATTATTAAGTTTAATATTATTATTATATTCTTATTAGAATATATGTTAAGAGGGAGAAATGAATAGGTTTATTACATTCCATACTACTATTGTAAGATCAGAGAATCAATATCAATGTAATGAATACTGTTGTAAATTTTGATTGTTATTGCCCAGAGATATTTGTACTCAGATGACACACTGTTTAATAGAAGATGGAATGTTTATATTGTATCTCTATCTCTATCTCTATTTCTCTCCCCTCTTTCCCTCCCTTCCCCCCCTCTATACACACACACACACACACACACACACACACACACACACACACACCCCTCTGAACCGGTAATGGCAATTTGAATTGGTTCCCTGAACTGGTAAATACCACCTCTGGTTGGCCCCGCCCACACCCGCCTGCTCACCCGCTTGCCGCTTGCCCCGCCTACCCTTGCCCTATATATGTTGCCTTCACCATGCGGCCCAGCTAATCGCCTCACCAGGTAAGCATGCCACCTACTTGCCCTTTGCCTTGGGTCAGGGCCCAGGGCCCAGGGACATGCCATTCCCCAAGGCCTGAGCCTCCGCCTGCTCGCTGCCCACCTCAGCCTGATCAGGGAACAAGCTATTCCCCAGCTCCGGCCTTGCCCTGGAGCTGCTGCCTGCTCACTGTCCACCTTGGCTGGGTTGGGAAATTGCCATTCTCTGAGTCCAGCCTTGTCCTGGAGCCACTGTCCACTCACTGCCCGCTCACCTCTGCCTCACTCACCTGCCTTCTGTTCCAGTCGCCTTGGTGGGGGGGACACGGCGAGGCTTGACCACCTTTCATGGGAAGCCTCCAGCTGCTGGTTGTTTTCGGCTACCTTCTGGGCAGCCCTATTGCAATGCCATCCCATGACCATCTCCACCCTGTTCGCGCCAGGCACACACGCACATCCCATTGCCTGCCGGTGCCGCTCGTGACGGGACCCGGCCAGGAGAACACCCTGCTGCACCAGAGGGATAACGGCACAGCAGAGTTGCTCAGAAGGCAGCCACCACAGTCTTTAAGGTACTTTGACAATGGAGGGAGGGGAGGACCATGAAGGGACAGGCCGCAGAAGTTGCCTTCCAAGTTCTGCAAAGGGTGGCAGAAAAGTTAGGCTTCTTTCTGCCATAGCATTCAACGTGGCTGCTTCTCTCCTCCTTCTCAGCCTCATACATACAAGCAAACATGAGAAGGAGGCGAGAAGCAGCAATGTTGAATGCTAGAAGACTTGGCCAAACTTTTCTGTTGGTTTTGTGGGCATGGCTTGGTGAGTGTGGCTTGGTGGGGTGGTGCCACCATGCCCACCAAGCCATGCCCACAGAACTGGTAGTGGAAAATTTGAATCCCACCACTGTATCCAGTACACATGTTCAAAATATTTTTGTTGCTGGGTGGGAGTGGCTGGGTGGGAGTGATGTTGAGTTGGCCATGCCCACACAGGCATGGCCTGGGGGGGCGTGTCATGTGACCAGGTGGGAGTGTTGTCAAGTTGGCCACACCCACCCAGGCTTTGTGGCTCCTGGTGTTTTGTTTTCTGTGAGAAATGGGTCCAAGCAGCTCTTTGAGTGTTTAAGGTTGGAGATCCCTGAACTAGATACAAAGATAGTTTTTTCCCCCATGCCATCACTCTGCTAAACAATTAATTCCTACAACACTGTCAAACTATCTAAAAAGGCAGTATTACTATCATTATTATCATCTTCCCTATTACCTATCTTGTTATCTTCTTATGACTATAACTTTGTTGCTTATCACTATTGTTGTATGTATATTGAGAGCTTACACAATGGAAACAAATTCCTCGTGTGTCTAATCACACTTGGCCAATAGAGAATTCCATTCCATTCTAAAGTAGAGCTACCATATTTTGGTTGCAAAAATCTGAGAGAATCATATGGAAAGAGATACAGAAAACTGCATAAATTTCTGGGCAGTTGCCTGACTTTTGCAGTCTAAATATAGAAGCTGAAAATTGAAATGCAAAGTAATCCCAGAGGCTTGGAAGGATCAGGAGAGAAGTATAACTTGATGTACACAACACCATAACAACCTATTGTAGCAATTTGCCTTCCCCCTACAGCATCCAACATATCTACAATATTGGCATGCACTGTGCCTTCTATGTCTGCATTCTCTGTCTTCCCACAGACTGCACGTGTTCTAGAAGCCTATTTTATTAAGATATTCAGCTAAGCAAAGGATAATGTTCATTTTCACTTTAATACAGTAACATGTAACTGAAGCAAGCAGTCTCATTCCTGTACTAATGGCTGCTAAATCCTCTTTAGAAAAGTATTTGAACAAGGCTTATGTCAAAAATGACTTGATGGCACGTAATCAATAAGATTGACAAACAATTTATTACATACAATACTTGAAAGTTGGGGAACCACAAGTAAAAGATATGCTGTTATTACATTGAAATTCCATGCAGGTATCAATGGCAATAATCAGCAATGCTAACCTGCTATTGGTGGAGGAGAATTTATTGCTGGCGTGTCTTTTCTCTTTGGTTTTCTCTGTTCCAGATCATTTTTCTGAGAGATTTGAGGAGTCTTCCCTTTTCTTGGTATCCTCTTGAGTTCACAACTTTTGAGCAGCTGCTCAGAAAGATCATCTGTGGGTTGTTGGGATTTTAAAAAAAAAGAATAGATAGCCACAATCAAAATAGTCACATTAACTTCAGATTTGGTTATCATGAACTTAATTGTTGGGTTAACAAGGCCTTGAAAATACTTTCAAGGAACTACTTGAAATAGTAAGGAACAAGGATTCCTTAGAAAGTGGAGTTGGAAAGAAAGAAAGAAAGAAAGAAAGAAAGAAAGAAAGAAAGAAAGAAAGAAAGAAAGAAAGAAGGAAGGAAGGAAGGAAGGAAGGAAGGAAGGAAGGAAAGAAAGAAAGAAAGAAAGAAAGAAAGAAAGAAAGAAAGAAAGAAAGAAAGAAAGAAAGAATCCATTGCCTCTCCATTTGGCATCTGATGTGTCACCAGAAGGTGCAGTCTATCAAATTGTATGAGAAACAGTTGTTCTACTTAGGGAAAAGGGAGAAAGTGGGGATGGATGGCACTAAAGGGAAAGTGTGTGTCAATGGGCCAGATTTCATAATGCAAAGACCTTTCCTCTAAAAGCCACAGACAATGACATCAACTCCCTAAAACTGACCCAAATGGTTACAGTAATAATTATTACTGTAATAATTATTAAATAATATGTAATTATTTTTCCGCCCTTATCGCATCTGCAGATAATTGCCCAGCCGCCCTGTTTAGGTGACCCACTCCCTTCTCCATCTGGGAGCACAGGAGGATACCTTGCAGGGTTGGGCTGAGGATTTTGTGCAGTATCTGCATGATAAAATCGCTCAAATTTGGGAAGGCTTGGTCTCTGACTGGATAGGTTCAGGCAGGATGATGGAGGCAGGTCTTGAGAATGTTATTTGGGAGGAGTTTGACCCTATGGCTCCCAAGGATGTGGACAGGATTCTGGGACGGCTGAACGCGACCACATGTTTATTGGACCCGTGTCCCTCCTGGTTGGTGCTGGCCTCCCGGGAGATTACGCGAGGCTGGCTCCAGGGGATTATTAACGCTTCTTTGAGTGAGGGTGTCTTGCCTTCCGCCTTGAAAGAGGTGGTGGTGAGGCCCCTCCTCAAGAAGCCCTCTCTGGATCCAGCTGTTTTGGCTAACTACCGTCCAGTCTCCAACCTTCGCTTTGTGGCGAAGGTTGTTGAGAGTGTGGTGGCATGACAGCTTCCACAGTATCTGGATGAAGCTGTCTATCTGGATCCGCTCCAGTCCAGCTTCAGGCCTGGGCACAGCATGGAAACAGCATTGGTCGCATTGGTGGATGATCTCTGGAGGGCTCAAGATAGGAGTTGTTCCTCTATCCTAGTCCTGTTAGACCTCTCAGCGGCTTTTGATACCATCGACCATGGTATCATGCTGTGCCGGTTGGAGGGGTTGGTGGTGGGGGGCACCATTTTACGGTGGTTCTCCTCTTATCTCTCTGACTGGTCACAGTCGGTGTTGGTGGGGTGGCAGAGGCCGACCCCGAGGTGCCTTGTTTGTGGGATGCAGCAGGGGTCGGTCCTCTCACCCCTCCTGTTCAACATTTATATGAAGCCACTGGGTGAGATCATCTGTGGTTTTGGGGTGGAGTTCCATCAGTACGCTGATGATACTCAGCTGTACATCTCCACCCCAGGCTATCCCAGTGATGCCCTTGAAGTAATGTCCCGGTGCCTAGAGGCCGTGTGGGTCTGGATGGGGAGAAACAGGTTCTGACTCAACCCTTCCAAGACTGAGTGGCTGTGGCTTCCGGCGTCCCGATATAGCCAGCTGGTGCCATCGCTGACTATTGGGGGTGAGTTACTGGCACCCACGGAGAGGGCTCGCAACTTGGGCATCCTCCTGGATGCACAGCTGTCTTTAGAAGAGCATATGATGGCCGTGGCCAGGGGGGCTTTTTATCAGGTCCGCCTGATTCGCCAATTGTGTCCCTTTCTGGATCGGGACTCCTTACGCATGGTCACTTGGGCACTCGTCACCTCCCGCCTGGACTACTGTAATACTCTCTACATGGGGCTCCCCTTGAGGAGCACCTGGAGTCTCCAACTGGTACAGAATGCGGCCGCGCGGGGGATTATGGGAGCGATGGGGCGCTCCCATGTGACACCCCTCCTGCGCAAGCTGCACTGGCTCCCAGTGGTCTTCCGGGTGCGCTTGAGGGGATTGGTTACCACCTTTAAAGCGCTCCATGGCTTAGGGCCTGGGTACTTACGGGACCGCCTTCTGCCACTGATAGCCTCCCACCGGCCAATACACTCCCACAGAGAGGGACTCCTCAGGGTGCTGTCAGCCAGATAATGTTGGCTGGTGACCCCTAGGGGGAGGGCCTTGTCTGTGGCAGCACCTGTCCTCTGGAATGACCTGCCCCCGAAGATACGTAGGATCCCAGATCTCCATGCTTTTCGCTGTGCCCTTAAAACTTTTTTATTTCATCAAGCCATGCTGCCTTAACCCCTCCCCCCTTAGATATTTTAATTGTTAATTGATTTTAGTTGGAGTGTTTTAAATTTATTGGGCCAGAATTTGTTTAATTCTTTTTTTAAAAAAAATTAAATTTTTGTATGTGATGTTTTTATTCTTGGTTGTTCACCGCCCTGAGTCCAGTGGGAGAAGGGCAGTATAAAAATCTAATAAAATAAAATAAATAATAATGAATAAATCCATCCAATCTGTCTTCAGACTTATCATGTGATGTCTATACATATTCAGTCGACATAATTGAAGAAGGTTTTCCGCAAGAAATGCAGAAACAAGGTCAGACATGATGTGCAAATGGTTAGACAACATATATCCCATGCTCACACTGATCTTCTGATCCAGTTTAAAAACTGAATCATCTCATGTCTTCCCATCACCATCCCTACATACATGCATATGTGCATATATATATAAATACATTTTAACTCAACTACAAAGAAGTAGTTTGTAAATCCCCAACCAGTAGAAATATGTCAATATAAAAAATAATTATATTGTAAAACATATTTCAGTAATATGTGGAATGGGCTTGAGGAGCCCATAACATTTTATGGAATTTAAAAATCTTCTCTTGGTTTATGGGCTGTTTAGGGGCTCCATAAATTCAATGTTGCCGACCAGTCATATTTTATGGACATCTGGCTTCTTAGCAAGTTGCTTCATATACAGCCCATCATCGGCTGGAAGAACAAAAATGAACAAAGAAAGATGAATCCAGTTGCTATCCAAAGCTGGCAGATTGTATTTGGTTTCATGGATTACTGATTATGTAGATTCATCCTAATTCTTCAATCTCATTCTCCCTCCTGTCTCTCTACTTTGCATGCATGCATACACATACCAGTGGTGAAATGCTCTGAACTCTGCTACCAGTTCAGTGCACTCGTGGGATTTCCTGCTTTCTAGTAAATATAAATCACACGGCACAGCTGATCGTCAGAAATATTGGTTCATCCAAATCAGTAGCATTTTTTTACTACTGGTTCACCCGAACTGGTAGCTTTTATTACTATCAGTTCGGGCGAACCGGTCTGAATTTCATCCCTGACACATTCATAGATGTGTAGCATTTCATCCCTGACACATTCATAGATACATATATACGTAATCCAATCACTAAATATGAGCACCTTTTCATGCCAACATTCCATCACTTATAATGGAAAGTAAGAAATACTTCTGAAAATTGCCTTGCTCTTACTAACACAATGGCCAAACTTAATCTTACATTTATCCTTGTTTTCCACATTTCCAGGAAGTATTTTTGTTTGTAAAAGAAAAGCGATTTTGGAAATTGGGAGAAATGTCTGAAAGTTTTTTGATGCATAAAGACAGCAATAAATAACCCCCTCTCCATACATACCCAAGTTATTTTTTCATCAGAGACCAAAAGTAACAGCGGCACTTCTTTACTTCCTTTGTAACTAAAATACAATAATAATAAATATAATAATTAACAAGAATAATAAAAATAATAATTAACCATTTCATGACTCCCATAGTTTGAAACACTCTCTTGGCTTAGATGGATTAACTCTGCAATTATGTCCCATAATCTCCCAAATTCGGCATTTCACAGAAATACTTACCTGATCTTACCTGATCTCAAAACCTGGTTGGAACTGGATTTGGAGACCAACCAGGGAATCTAAAGGATATAATTGACATGTGGAAAAGAGCAAAAATGACAGAAGACAACAAGAGTAAACTAAGAAAATGACATGGATGTGTCCATGAAATCACCGGGAATCAAACTTAATTTGAAATTTATTTTACTTACAGTTGAGCATAGAATTTGAATCATAGGTGCTTATTTGCTTTATGTTATAGTAGTAAATACAATCCATCTTCTCCAAACTGGTCTCATCTGTTCTGTTTTAAAACAATAATCCTACCAATGGATAGACAAAATCATAAGCCCCTTTATATACTTTATTTCCAACAGTACCTTGGATTGGAAGGCATAGAAAACTGGAGTTTTAGGAGTTATATGCTTTACTTTGAGTGTCTTGGCTGAAGGGTGAAGTATAAAAAATAAAATTAAATCTGTAAACAAATATGCCCAGAATATATTGTATTTCTGAGCAGAAAGCCATTCTTTCTACAGTACTGGTATGTTGTGCCTCATATTCAGCCACTGCTAGTCTTTAAAACAGATTTACCTTTGATTCTTCCCCCCCAACCTGTATAGATAACAGGTATATGGATGTGCATTTAACCCAATGGTGTGTATATGTTTTGTAAACTCTAGATTTGGGAGAAAGCCAAGCTCATTCTATTGTAATTTACTTTTCATCTCTTATTCTTATTTTCCTACTCTTTCTTTTTAATAGGTTCTCAGCAAAACTCTAATCACATCCATATCTTTCTAAGATGATTGAATGAATCTCCCAAAGCATGTTAGCAAATGATAAACCTAGTTAAGGATTTTCCTAGTAATAGTAAATTATCATTAATCTGCTAGGGTACTATGAAACAATATTTATTGCTTTTTGCATAGCTGCAGGAATAGTTTCCCTCTGCCTTGAGGCACCATAGCTTCATAAATGGTAGCCATGCATATTTTATAGAGTTCATGACCTGTGGTACAAATGCACCAGATTTCATCTGCATTGTAAGCCTAGAGCAGTGTTTCCCAAACTTGGCTATTTTAAGATACATGGACTTCAACTCCCAGAATTCCTCAACCAGGCATACTGGCTGGGGAATTCTGGGAGTTGAAGTCCATGCATCTTAAAATAGCCAAGTTTGGGAAACACTGGCCTAGAGGTAAGCCAAGATAAAGGCAAGATAAAAGGTAAGCCAAGATAAAAGGTAAGAACAGGGTGTCCAATGAGCAAACTATGATTATTGGAGTTAAAAGTCTATTTCAATTTATGCCTGCTTTTAACACTGGTCATTTCTTCCTTTGAGCTGGCAATTGTTTCTGACAAAATCTACAAGATTCTTTAATTATACAATTGTCCAACTTAAAACCAAACACTGGGTGGCTTACAAGTCCTTCAAGATTGTTATTAAAAGCCACAGGGAAAATACTTGGAAGATTCAGTAATTTTACAGAAAGTTATTTTCAGATATGCAAAGAATGAGTAGCAGTTTTGTTTCTGGGGCCATTGATGTGTTTGGAGTCCGTAGGTGGGACACTTCACAGTCTGTACAAAAATATGCTCACTTGCTCTATTTATTTGCATATACTTATCACATTTCCCAGTTCACACAGACAAAATCACATTGTACCATAAACCAAACACATAATTATTGAGGGAGTGGGATTTTTAAAAATCTTGTTCCTTTTTAGCAATTTTTAGCAACTGGGAAACAAGGATTGATAAAGATTGCTGGAAAGAGAAGAAGGGGATAACAGCCTTGAGTAAGAGGAGAAACATAAATCCAGGGGTGAAATCTAAAATTTTTCCCTGCTGGTTCTGTGGGCGTGGCTTGTTGGGGGGGTGTCCTGTGACTGAGTGGGCATGGCCAACTTGATGTCACTCATAGCCACCCCCACTCAGTCACAAGACCCCCTTCCACCAAGCCACGCCCACAGAACCTGGTAGGAAAACTTTTTAAATTTCTTTCTCCCGTGGCTCCGCCCACCCGCCCCATTCCCCGGACTCCTACTGCTCACCTTTCTCCTGCAGCTGGCTGTCAGGGAAGGCAAGCGCCCGAAAGGTACCGGAGTTGCTCACTCTCCTTCTTGAATGAGCCGCTCTGGTCCATGCGCCGGCTGCGCAAGCACACAGTTTATTTAATTCAGCGGCAGGTTGGATGTGCGCTTGTGCAGCCAGTGCGTGGACCAGAGCGGCTCATTCAAGAAGGAGAGTGAGCGACTCTGGTACCTTTCAGGCACTTGCCTTCACTGACAGCCAGCCGCGGGAGAAAAGTGAGCAGTAGGAGTTGGAGAATGCACCATTCCTCAACTCCAGCCTTGCCGCAGAGCCGCTGCCTGCTCGCCCTTCGCCACATGGCTCCGCCCACCTGCCCCATTCCCCGGAGTCAGGAAATGCACCATTCCCGGACTCCTACTGCTCACCTTTCTCCTGCAGCTGGCTGTCAAGGAAGGCAAGCACCCGAAAGGTAGTGGAATCTCTCACTCTCCTTCTTGAATGAGCCACTCTGGTCCACGCACCAGCTGCGCAAGCACACACCCAAACTGCCGCTGAATTAAATAAATGATGTGCACTTGCACAGCCGGCACACGGACCAGAGCGGCTCATTCAAGAAGGAGAGTAAGCAACTCAGGTACCTTTCAGGCGCTTGCCTTCCCTGACAGCCAGCCACAGGAGAAAGGTGAGCAGTAGGAGTCCGGGAATGGTGCATTCCCCGAGTCCGGGGAATGGGGCGGGTGGGCAGATGGGCGGAGCCTCCAGCTGCCATTGCTACCGGTTCTCTGAACCACTGGCCATCATCGCTACCTACTCGCCCGAGCCAGTCCGAACCGGGAGCATTTCACTCCTGTATAAATTCCTTTCTCCTCTCTAGTCTTTATCAAAATTACTATTTTCCCACTGCTATTAACAATAGAAAACAGGTTCTGCTCTCTGATGCCCAGGTGTTGGATAATCAGGTGGGCCATAGGGAAAAATGGGCAGGGTTATTAGAAATTCCAAATTCTAACATGTGATTTATAAGCTGCACATTGTCTATATATTTTGCCACTAATTTGCAGATTATGAAAGAAAATATATAGGTTTATGTGTATGTATAAGTCTGTGTATATGTCTGTGTGGGTGTTTCAGTGGGAAATATTCAATATCTACAAAAAGAATTCTGGGTTACTAAATCAAACACATGGTTCACATTGTTCTTATCCTTATCCTTCCATGTGACTTCTTACCACATTCATTTTTGTATGGTTTCTTATAAATGCCTTTCATCATAAAATCTCAATTCTTCCTGTTAAAGGCAACTGGATTCTAGAAAAACATTACAATTTTTCAAGATAATGTGTATTTCAGAATACTTTTTAACAATTATGCAATAAACTAATCAGATGACCTATTATAATAAAAACTGTTTTATGTAACATTAATGCCTGAATCCCCATCATCCTTATAGCCAATAATTTACTCTCAATCATACAAATATTTAAGCAGATTATAGTATAGATGAGGTTGGTAAGAGAAAAGATTGCTAAATAAGGCCCTAGAAAGAAGGTTTAGAGCTGACAGTTCTGAAGGACGTTGGGCAAGGGAGTCTATCTGCTAGGTATTCCTTGGGTTTATGAAGTAATAAACTCTTAATAAGGCAGGAAAGTGCTATTCAATGGACAGTGCCATCATATATGTACTACAAACAAATGAATCTTTCCATCAACAATGCTTAAACTCCACACTAATACTTTTTCACTGGAGAAAAAGAAAAACTTATTTTATTTTGAATCCAATTCTTTTAAGGATAGTAAACCTTAAAATACTGTCATATTCCCAGGTTCTTAAAGTTTGGTCACATCATGGTGGCATGCCTAACTTATCTCTAAGTATTGTTCTGAAACTGGTTTCAGAAAAGATTTCGTAAAGCAAATCTTATGTAGTTTGACATATGATATGGAAGATGCCAGGTTCATTCCTCAAGTTGGGATAGAAAAATTGCCCTTATTGGTAGGCTCTGTCTCAGAATTAATTGAAAAGATGACAAACTTCTATATTCTAAGATGCTATTTCCTCTCTAAGATTACGATCATTATGATGTTAAGAGAAATACCTCCCTGATTTTTAGGAAAATCATTTCCTTGTCAAGAATTTAAAAATTAATGGCATATTTTTCAGAGTTAATGAGCACATGGAAAGTACAAAGATATTAGATTCTTAAAGAAATTTGGAGGAACTGAGATATCTAGTTTTCAATATAAATTAACATCTTTTTTCAAATAAGAAACTTGTTTCAATATTTCCCTTAAGGCAACATTAAATTAAACTCTATAAACTGTCATTAGAATAGGATGTATACAAGCATTTTCATGCTTTTAAATTTTTAAACAGGAATTTAAATAGCATGGACTACACAATATCATGCTTTGAAGAAAATGAGTGAAATATTTTCTAAAAGAACAACTTTTTCAAGAAATTGAAAGAAGAATTTTTTTAAAAAGCAGTCATCCTTATAAGCTTCACCTTGTAGTGTGTAGAATATAATGCACCTAATGAACCACTGTGATATACACTCCCAAATACAAATTTCACACAAAAGATTTCAAATACTAAATCCTTTTGGAATCTGACTTTCACTCTGATTAAAATGGAATTCTTACCATTCAACTGGCTTAACACCATATATTTAAAAGTTAAATAACACATTAATACTACAAAAATGGCATAGATTCTCTTGAATGTGATTAAGTTGAACTGAAATATATTCAGAATTAAATTGTATCATTCAAAATTACTCACCACCATGTGAATGGTGATCCAGCTAAAAAATAACATTCAAATACCAACTCTCCATATGTGAGTATGCCTGCATGTGTTTGGGATTGGCTTCTGACCTTCTGTCTCAGTTCACAGCTGTCAGCTCACAAGTTTCAACTTTTACCAAGTAGATTCCTCTAACAGGGCATTTTAAAACTTCCTGACAGAGGAAGAGATCTGTGACTTTCATTACTATTACAGAGTTGGCAGGTAGTTGTTTAACTTCTTTAGGAAGACTGTATTAATCATTTCCCCCCTCCATCTCACCACAAAGAAAGCTGAAGAATTTACCAGCCGGGATGCTGGGGTAAGTATGATAGGGATTTGGTGTTCACTGGAGCAGGAACTTTCTCCTCTGCTGGCATGCCTTATCTAGGGAACAGCAGTAGCTGTTGCTATGGCAATGCTTTGTTTCAAAAGTAACCCAGGAAGGTGAAGAAGAGGTAACCTTAGCCTGAGCACTAGTAGATTTTAATGAAAGGGACCAGCTGATTTTCAAATCAATATCATAAGAAGGAGTGGAAGTGCAACAAGTTGTTTTTAAAGCGTCGATGAGAAGAACAATTAGCTTTAGAAGTCTTCTAACTCAGAATCTGCCCAGGAAACAATTTTATGTGGACAAAAATGAACACAAATCTAATCTTTTATCAAGTAAAAGTGGTCAGCTAAACCTTGGAGAGCTAAACCTTCAGATCCAAACCAGAGTCTTTGCCCAAACACTGCCCTAGCTAGGCAACTACTGAGCAAAACTCAGGGCAGTGAGGAGAGACAGAGAACTGGTTTGAAGGCAACATATAAACATTCAGAGCCGATACACCATGTCTAGGAATGAAGTTGATGACTGTGGTGGTTGCTGGTGTTTGTAGAATGGCTTGTTACACAAATCTGATACACTGATGCCATTTAGGGCAGGGAGTCTTTTGTGGGCAGGGAGTCTTCTGAGCTTGTGCCAGTAATGACTAGAGCTGGTTATTTTAACTCACTGCTTTTGATAAAAATTTGTTTTGGAACATGAAAAAACATGCTGGGTCTAAGGAATGTTGGGGAAATTTATGAATTGGAGGCCTTTAACTATTCAAATAGATAAGACTTCAGGTGGGTCATTTCCTTTCAGATATTGATACAAGTCATTGTTTCCCTTTCAGGTTTAATTTGTGTTATGTATCATAGGAAGTGTTATGACCATATAACCAGTCGCGGTTCAAGTGGTACCGTGGGCCATGCTATAAAACACACTATGGGGGCATTATGCCCCAGTGCAGTCGAAGTTTGTACGATAGCGCAAGTTTCACCGCAGAATGCAGGAAGAAGGCAAGTCCATGAACCACTATGTAGCAGCACTTAGAAAAGCCACCACATACTGTGAGTTCTGAGAGCTGGAGGATGTGCTGTTAGAGCACTCAGAAGTGGAGTGAGGGATGTTAGCCTACAACAGCAGTTGTTACCCAAGCCGGCCCTCACTTTACAGATGGCCTTAGAAGAGGCCAGAGCGGCAGAGAACTCGCAGAAATCAGCAGCTCCCCTGCAAAGAGCGGGAAATGTGCTGACTTCACGCCAAACTGCCATGGTGTATCAAGAGAGCACCGAGCTGATTGAATCATTGGAAGACGAAAATGACATCTACCGGCTACAAGATGACAAGAAAAGAGCCTACCCCAATGCAGAATGGAGACAACCCTTGTGTGCGGAGGGACACATTCCAGAGCAACATTCAGATACAAGGACACTGTGTGCCAGAGGTGTGACCATAAGGGACATCTGGTTCAGGTCTGCCGTGCTAATATGTCATCTGCGTTCAGAGCTAAACAACAACCTGTGGCCTCTGCAATGCCTGAAAAGAGGAAACCCAGACCATGGAAACCCAACTGCAGGGAGAAATCTCCAACTGCTGACAGAGAGGCGTATCAGACGAATATAGGACAGACCAGCTTGTCAGCCAAAAAGATCCATGTGACAGTATTGATTGAGGGGACAGTGTGCAAGATGGAAATTGACATGGGATCGTCCCTAACCATTGTTGCGTGGAACACCATGATGAACATTATTCTGGGCATAAGAAAGAAAGACTTGAGGCCACAGCGGTTACAACTCAAAGACTACCAAGGAAACTGCATCCCCATTGTGGGCAGTGGAACATTCCAAGTGTGATTTCAGGGTTTTTCCGGTTCTTTGAAAATAACCATAGTTGAAGGGGCTTTGCCAAGCCTGCTTGGCTTGGACTGGTTTGAAGCCCTGGACATGGGAGTGACCGGTATCAATGCCTTCGCATACGACAGCGCCAAGGACCTCATGAAGGAGTTCCAGGACGTATTCAGCAGTGGCCTAGGCAAGTACAAAGGAACACCTATCTCTTTCAGCCTAGATCCCAAGATGGCACCAATTCGAATTAAGCCCTGTAGGGTTCTCCTTGCAATTAGACCTAAAATTGATAAAGAACTGGCCAGGGAATCCTTGAGCTGGTAGACCATGCCCGTTGGGAGACCCTCATAGTAAAGCCAGTCAAAGCTGATGGCTCAGTCGGCATCTGTGTGGACTATAAGTGCACAATCAACAATGTCTTGGAGCAGAATGCCTATCCTGTTCCCATCATTCAAAACCTACTACATTCATTGGGAACGGGAACTACATTTGCCAAACTTGATCTCGCGCAAGCTTACCAACTACCAGTTGATGACAGCACAGCTGAAGCCCAAACGATTGCCACCCATAGGGGTGCATTTAAATGCCGCCGCTTACAATTTGGGGTCAGCGTGGCACCAGGATTGTTCCAAAGTCTAATGGAACTGCTGTTACATGGCATCCCTGGGGTGGTGCCATATTTTGATGACGTTCTGGTGTCTGCTACTGATAAACCTGTCCTCTTTGCCCGTCTCAGGTCTGTCCAGATTCAGAGAAGTGGGCCTTAAAGTTAAGCGGGAAAAATGCCACATTGCAGTGACCTGGGTGGAATTCCTGGGATACATGATCGACGGCTCAGGGATTCATCCCACCAAGTCCAAAATTGCTGCCATTCAAAATGCTCCTATCCCACAAAATAAGAGGGATTGCAAGCCTTTCTAGGGCTGCTCAATTTCTACAGCATATTTTTGGTGCAAAAGGCCACTGTGGCTGAACCCTTACATAGGCTGCTAGGGAAAAAGGCTTCTGGTATTAGGGCCTGGCCAAGGCAGCTGCCTTCACTGCAGTAAAGAAACTGCTGACATCTGACAGTGTGTTGGTCTCCCTGATGTCGGCACAGTGAGAGGATGCCTGTTATGGCGCCCCGAGGCTGTGGCTATACTGCTTGAGGAAGTCTATTCATCCAAACCAAACTAAAAGACTGTGTCAGGCTTGCTTCCTTCAAAGTCCAAGAAAGAATGAGCCAAACTCCATATTTTATAGAGTAATGTACTTTTACTGGAAAATGAAATGAACGCAATCATGGAAAGCTGAAACTAAAGCAAAAGGCGCGAAAGTTGCATATAGAAAGCATCTCCTCCCACTGTTCATCATCAATCACCCAATCCAAAGGTCTCCCAGAGGTCAGGTGGACACACGTCTGGCATCATCATCAATCAGGAACGCGATGATGGTTGACCCGATAGCCACTTTGGTGCTTAGGTTTCATTTCTTCAATCCACCAGCTTGCTTCCTTCCCCCTCCTCTTTTCCCTCCCCTGTTTCTTATGGCAGCCAAAGCAGAAAGTCGGAGGCTGACAGACTGATTCGGTAATTTGAGACTGTGATTCAATTGAAAGCCGCAAGGTAGTGGAGTTTAAAATCTTTCCTACTCCCAGAGCCTAAACTGAGTGAGGTGGCAGTGAAGTTAGTTGGCAGTTTGAGAAGATTATCAACCTTGGATTATAACTGATTACTGCGATCTGATTTCACCCTGTTTTTATGACTGGTGAATTTTGAATTTTGACTTACTGTTTGGGAATGTGATCCCCCACAGACCTTGAAAGAAAGAGTGCTGTGCTTTCTTTGATTTTCCTATCTTTGACTTAGTACTAACATTTTCTGTTTTTGAAAAATGCCATTTGTATGAGCAATCACTTTTGAATTTGCTTTTGTTGCAAGAAGAGCTGGAAGAGCTGGAGAACTGGAGAAGTTGGTGTTTGCTGCCATCTAGTGACTAAAATTGCTAACTACACCTAGATTCATTATAGTTGGACTTCCCCCCCCTTTCCCCTTTTCCTTTCCTTTCCTATTTCCTTTTAGATAGCCAGTAGGAATTAGATACCCAGTAGGAATTAGTGAGTAAATTTACCCCTAGTGTGGTTTGGACATTGGACATAGCGAAGTAAGAATGAATTTTGATAATAGGTGGTGAAACCATTTGGTGTTGTATGATTGCTTGGAAAGACTTTTTAGGAATATCCAAAATGGCTACCATGACTACTACTTTGAAGAAGAAGGCAATCACAACCTCTTCAGCCTCATCTCCAGCCACTACCTCTGTGACACTATGAAGATCATCTGAAGACGTGGCTACTCCGGGAAAAGCATCGACGCAAGTTATTCTCCAGTCTATACAGGAAACATTGATTAAAAATCAAGATTCAACATCAAAAACCTTGGAAGAGCTAAAGAGGAATGTCGAAACATTAAGTACTGAGACAAGGTTGTTTCATGCAAAGTTTGAGGAAGTCCAAAATACTTTGACTAATCATGAGGAACAGATTCAAGCTTCCGAGATAAAGACCGAGAAGGTGACATGTAGGATGGAGCGGCTCAAACTCCGGCAAGCCTTGGCTAATAAAAAAATCGAGGAAGAGATTATCTTCCTCGAAATGGATAGATCTGGCTACTTCTTACGGTTTCAGAATGTCCCTGAAGAGAAAGATGAGCGCTTGGATGTACTAATGGGAGAGATCATTGCAGGAATTACTGGAAGAGATTTTGCAGAAATTTCAAGAGATATTGACGATGTGTACCAAATATATACCAGCTATGCTCGGCGCAACAAGCTTCCTAAAGAGATCCATGTTCGATTTACTAGAACAGCACTAAGAGATGAAGTGTTTCGGAAAACGAGGGACCAAGCTTTTACCTACAAAGATAACCGACTAACAGTATTGCCCCAGCTCCTGAGACATTCGGAGGAAATATGACTTTTTGACAACATGGCTGAGGAAGCAAGGGATACGTTATCGTTGGCTTCTAACGGAAGGTCTGATGTTTATCTGGCAAGACAGAGGTTACGATTGGAATCCATACAGGAAGTGCAGGACTTCGCAGAGGCCTATATTAATCTTAGTGACCAAGAGAGTGAAGGTGGTAAGAGCTAAGAAGAGGTAGCCCAGGAAACAGCAGCCACAGAGCATATTGGACATGACAAAGACACAGCCCAATCTGGAGAAGAAAGAGGAACAA